TAATCCAACTGTATGAAAACTTTTGCTCAAACAAATTGGCTAAAAACCTCCTCCTTGAACCGTCACCTTATCGTGGTGGAGGAGTTTGAGTGCCCTAATGATCCTAGGAGCTATGTTGTCTGGGGCACTTAGTGCCCCTGGTAGGGTCTCCCATGACAAATTGGTCTTAGGTGAAGGGTGAGACAAAGAACGGTTCGAAGGATCTTTCATGGCGGTTAAAACGAAGAGTCGGAGTACCCGGCCCGGAGGGTTACCGGGGTCCCACCCTGGAGCCAGGCCTGGGGTTGGGGCCCGTGAGCGAGCGCCTGGTGGCCGGGCTTTCGCCCATGGGGCCCGGCCGGGCCCAGCCCGAACCGGATACATGGGCTCGTCCAACTGTGGACCCACCACCCGCAGGAGGAACATGAAGGGTCCGGTGCAATGTGAATCGGGTGGCAGACCAAGGCGGGAGCCTTGGCGGTCCAATCCCCGGACAAGAAAACTAGTTTTTGGGACATGGAACGTCACCTCGCTGGCGGGGAAGGAGCCGGAGCTTGTGGCAGAGGTTGAGCGGTACCGGCTAGATATAGTCGGACTCACCTCGACACATAGCATTGGCTCTGGAACCCGAGACCTGGAGAGGGGTTGGACACTCTACTTTGCTGGAGTTGCTCCGGGTGAGAGGCGGAGGGCTGGGGTTGGCTTTTTGTTAGCCCCGAGACTCTCTGCCTGTGTGTTGGGGTTTACCCCGGGGGACAAAAGGGTAGCTTCCTTGCGCCTTCGGGTCGGGGAACGGGTCCTGACTGTTGTTTGTGCTTATGGGCCAAATATCAGTTCAGAGTACCCACCCTTTTTGGAGTCCCTGGGACGAGTGCTAGATAGTGCTCCATCAGGGGACTCCATTGTCCTGCTGGGGGACTTCAATGCTCACGTGGGCAATGACAGCTTGACCTGGAGGGGTGTGATTGGGAGGAACGGCCCACCTGATCAGAACTCGAGCGGTGTTTTGTTATTGGACTTCTGTGCAAGCCGCAGTTTGGCCATAACGAACACCATGTTCGAACATAAGGATGCCCACCGGTACACTTGGTACCAGGGCAGCCTAGGTCTCAGGTCAATGATAGATTTTGTAGTCGTATCATCTGACCTGCGGCCGTATGTTTTGGACACCCGAGTGAAGAGAGGGGCGGAGCTGTCAACTGATCACCACCTGGTGGTGAGTTGGATCAGATGGCAAGGGAACATGCCGCGTAGACCTGGCAGACCCAAACGCATAGTGAGGGTCTGCTGGGAACGCCTGGCAGAAGAACCTGTCAAGACGGTCTTCAACTCCCACCTCCGGCAGAGCTTTGACCACGTCCCGAGAGCAGTGGGGGACATTGAGTCCGAGTGGGCCTTGTTCCACTCTGCGATTGTCGAGGCGGCTGTTGCTAGCTGTGGTCGTAAGGTGGCCGGTGCCAGTCGTGGTGGCAACCCCCGTACCCGCTGGTGGACACCAGAGGTTCGGGGAGCCGTCAGGCTGAAGAAGGAGGCCTACAGGGCGTGGCTGGTCTGTGGGTCTCCGGAGGCAGCAGACAGGTACCGGATAGCCAAGCGGGGTGCAGCAGTGGCAGTTGCCGAGGCAAAATCTCGGGCGTGGGAGGAGTTTGGTGAGGCCATGGAGAAAGACTATCGATCGGCTCCAAAGAGGTTCTGGCAAACTGTCCGGCGCCTCAGGAGAGGAAGACAGCAACTCGCTCACACTGTTTACAGTGGGGATGGGGAGCTGCTGACGTCAACTGAGGCTATAGTCGGACGGTGGAAGGAATACTTTGAGGAGCTCCTCAATCCCACCAATGCGCATTCCGAGGAGGAACCAGAGCTGGGAGGCCTGGGGATGGACTGTCCGATCTCGGGGGCAGAAGTTGCTGAGGTAGTCAAACAACTACACAGCGGCGGAGCCCCGGGGGCGGATGAGGTTCGTCCTGGGTATCTCAAGGCTATGGATGTTGTAGGGCTGTCATGGTTGACACGTCTCTACAACATTGCGTGGTCATCGGGGGCAGTTCCTAGGGAGTGGCAGACCGGGGTGGTGGTCCCCATCTTTAAGAAGGGTGACCTGAGGGTGTGTTCCAACTATAGGGGGATCATACTCCTCAGCCTCCCTGGAAAGGTCTACTCCAAGGTACTGGAGAGGAGGGTCCGATCGATAGTTGAATCTCAGATAGAGGAGGAGCAATGTGGTTTTCGTCCTGGCCGTGGAACTGTGGACCAGCTCTATACCCTTGCAAGGGTGATGGAGGGGGCATGGGAGTTTGCCCAACCAATCCACATGTGCTTTGTGGATTTGGAGAAGGCTTATGACCGTGTCCCCAGGGGCACCCTGTGGGGGACGCTCCAGGAGTATGGGGTGGGTGGCTTTCTGTTAAGGGCCATTCAGTCCCTTTACCAGAGGAGCGTGAGTTTGGTCCGCATAGCCGGTAGTAAGTCGGACCTGTTCCCAGTGAGGGTTGGACTCCGCCAGGGCTGCCCTTTGTCACCGGTTCTGTTCATCACTTTTATGGACAGAATTTCTAGACGCAGCCGTGGTGTGGAGTGTGTCGAGTTTGGTGGCAGGAGAATCTCGTCTCTGCTTTTTGCGGATGATGTGGTTCTCCTAGCTTCATCCAGCTCTGACCTTCAGCTCTTGCTGGGTAGGTTCGCGGCCGAATGTGAAGCGGCTGGGATGAGGATCAGCACCTCAAAATCTGAGACCATGGTTCTCGACCGGAAAAGTGTGACTTGCCACCTCCGGGTCGGGGGAGAGGTCCTACCTCAAGTGGAGGAGTTTAAGTATCTCGGGGTCTTGTTCACGAGTGAGGGTAGGAGGGATCGGGAGATCGACAGGCGGATTGGTTCGGCGTCTGCAGTGATGCGGACGCTGAGCCGATCTGTCGTGGGGAAGAGGGAGCTGAGCCAGAAAGCCAGGCTCTCGATTTACCGGTCGATCTACGTCCCAATCCTCACCTATGGGCATGAGCTTTGGGTAATGACCGAAAGAACGAGATCGCGGATACAAGCGGCCGAAATGAGTTTCCTCCGTAGGGTGGCCGGGCTCAGCCTTAGAGATAGGGTGAGGAGCTCGGACATTCGGGAGGGACTCGGAGTAGAACCGCTGCTCCTCCGGATCGAAAGGAGCCAGTTGAGGTGGTTTGGGCATCTGGTCAGGATGCCTCCTGGACGCCTCCCCGGGGAGGTGTTTCGGGCATGTCCTGCCGGCAGAAGGCCCCCGGGTCGACCCAGGACACGTTGGAGAGGTTACATCTCCAATCTGGTCCGGGAACGCCTTGGGGTCCTGCCGGAGGAGCTGGTGGACAAGGCCGGGGAGAGGACGGCCTGGAGCTCCCTAATTGGGATGCTGCCCCCGCGACCCGGACCCGGATAAGCGGAGGAAGACGACGACGACGAAATTGGCTAAAACTAGTTGGTTTAGGACCTTGAGAAAAGTTACGTCTGCAAGGTCTATATGCACTTTATCAATATTTCATAAGTTAACTACACACTGCCTGCTAAAAGTAAAGGCAAGGCAATACGTAACACAACTGAAAAATTACATTTTACAGTTGCTGAAATTCAAATAAATAAAACATAATGCTTTGAGGCCACTGATTAAAACTACATTTTAGCATTGGTTTGCTAGACAACGATGAGTTCATTGACCTGAAAATTAATCAATACTGCTGCCAACAAAATTCTGACTACATGAGGTCTTCTTGCTCATATGGTTGATAAACATCACTAATTAACCCATAAGATAATTAAATATATGCAAATTCATGTTTTATTTAGATGCAGAATTTAAGGATTTTATATGTGTTGTTCTTGCCTTTAGGTAAAAACATCACCCATTTAAATTTGTGGGTCAGGAGAGGAAACTTTGACTGTGTTTATGTTGTGTTTCAAACATGCATATCATTTTGAGAATAATCAGAGCAGAGTTTTTATTAATGAAATGCAGGATTTTAGAAAACAAAACATTATAAAATGAAAATGTTCACAAAAAAAGCCAAACATTGTTCCTGCAGTTGTATTTTATATCACTCTCATTCCCTACCTTGATTATTATTATTATTATTTTGTTCAATCTGTTGCCTGAAAAAAAAAAGAACAATCCCACCACCTGCATCATCCTACCATTTTAACAGCTGTCCTGTGGTGTATGCAGGCTTTAAAATTTTATATCGGATACATTAAGAAGAAAATGCATTACTAACTAATACAAGCATCTTAGCATCGCTGTGCTTCGGGAAAACAAGAGTCGGCTGCTGTTGGAGAGAAAACAAATACAGCACTTTTCCGGGTACTAGCTTAAATTAAAGTAGTTGTCATTTGAATGAAAGGAGCCAAAAAAGCCAATATCGAGCATTCTTATTTTAAAGGTGTGATTTACTCATTTATTCAATGTATTTGCAGTATTATCTTGTGTAAATCAATGCAGTATGAGTCATGCTACGACGCTCCTGTTCTGAGATGCAGACGCTTACTGGTGCAGAGGTGGGTGGAAAACAGCAGAATTGTTCATTAATATTAATGATATGCACACGCCTCACTTCTGACTGGCTAAAAGAAAGCATTCAGCCATGTTGCAAAGTCACTGTCACCAACACACTCTCCGCTCTTTTTCCTCGCTTAAAAAGCATTCCTGTGTTTGGACGCAAGCCAAGGTGGGCGGGGCCATGAAGGCAAATTCACAGTGTGACATTCCAGTGTGAGGATTTTCAAATCCTACCATTTCACAATTTATTTCCTATCAGAAACTATAGCAGAAGATATATGTAGGAGACTATTTTCATCTTCAGTCTGCATGAAAAACTCTGAATATAATCAGAAATAATAATAAAAAATGTTTTTTCAGTCAGCCGCACCGTTAAATGTTAGTAAAATGTAGCAATAAATGTGTAGTAGTTGAACTGTCCATGACTGTTACTTGAAATGATCCAAAGATGTTAAATTATTTAGTTTTATGAGATGAAGTCATTAAGCACAAGTGATTCTTGGATTACCGTAGTTTGGACAGCAGACCTTGAGCCAGCAGACACTGGATAACACTGTGAGGTTGGTCAGGCTGCACAGACCGAACAGAACACCACAGAAGGCATAAACGGTGCAAGTTGGCATATTAAACAACCACCTGCATGAAGAAGGAAAGAAAAACAAGCAGAAGAAAATAACGCTTTAACAGATTTTTTTTCCTCTCTAAAATTCTAAGGAGTAGTTTCACAGGAAATATCAAGGAGGGTGGGCAGGTAACAGATTTTTTCTGGCATTTCCCTTGAGTAAAATAAGATCAGTGTACAATGATGCACTTTGACCCAGTCCTGGCACATGTGACAGTTTGCATTCTCATATTCTCCGAGGATCATAGAGGAGAACAGAGTTCACCAGCTGGAGCACGACACATACACGTGACCAAGGAGACATGTCCCACCGCATTTCAAGAGTTATCTCACAAAAGCTCCAGTCATGCAGCAGCCAATACAAAGGGTATTTCAACTAGAAGAATAAATGCATCAAGCTATGTAACAAGTTTTATATTCTGAAAAAATATTATTATTATTTGAAGAGATAGACCTGAAGATCCACCTCATGCAGCAGAGACTAGAGGTGTGATCATCTCTTCAGAGTGACCTTGAAATGTGTTGCCATGACAAGAAAGTAGCATTATGATTTAAAACATAATTATGGTTGGTGAAAGCATGCAGTAAAAATAGGTGGTGCTCTGACTCGTTTCCAACCTAATTAGACATCTTCTTACTTAGACTCCATAAAATGACAGAAATTTTGAGTCCTGACTCTTTCTGCAGTTTGTTTCACACATTAACTTAACACCAGCCAATTTTCAACTGGAAATACTCCAGTGTGACACATGGCCTGAGTGGAAATCATTATATAAAAAGTACGAGTGGAAGCTGCATGTTGAGAATGGAGACTTTAGGCTTGACCTAAATGTGATGATCACATTTATCTGGTCAGTTTACATGTTTAAAAATAAGAGGATGGAAAATTTAGTGATACAGCGAAAGTGTGAACCACTACAGAGAAGACTGAAACACTAAGTGATCTGTGATTTCAGTATGTGTGGATCAAGGGTATGAACTAAAGAAAAGCCTCCATACACAATCGCACACTCCTCTCTGGGCACTAAGGTTTTTTTTTTTTTGAAGGTTTTATGTTGTTTTTCATCTGCTTTCTTTTTGAACAGCTGCACTTTACTTGATCTGATGTTATACAGCTCAACAGAAACAAGCGTTTCTAGTCAAAACAAACCCAAAAATATAAATTTAAAGGGACTTAACGGAGTTTTGAATTTTTATGCTCGCGATTGCCCCCTCAGGCCAAAAGCGTAACGGCAGCTTCAATAGGAGGCTCGTGCACGAGGCGCGCAGGCTGTACGTGCACATTCCTTAACGAAAATAACAGCTGAGACAGTCCCTTGTGTGTGTGTGTGTGGCCCGGAGGACAGAGGACAGGAGAACGTGCAGCTAATTAATTAAATAATTTGGTTCTGTACCTTTCTCCGCAGCACAGCCTACAAAGGTTTAAGATGGGTCAGTCCTCCTGCATGCTCAGATCATTCCCTTCCCTTGCTTGAAAAATTGTTCCAAAATGAAAGTTGAACCCACATCTTTTTATATGTGAATTCAACGCCGTTCGGCGAGTCTCAAATAAAAATTTGGGCATCTTACTGTAAAAAATATATCATTAATGCCAAAAAGAAACTCTAAAACAACTATGTTCACATCCAGAATCAAACCCAGGTCTTCTGCACTAAAGCCTGAAGTTTTACTAGGCGAGCTAAAGCACCAGTGATGTCTTCTGTATCTGTAACATTTATATCCTTGATGACAGCTGAAACAACGTTCAAAGAACGGTTCGGAGGGCTAGGCCTGAGCGTGAACACGCATGAAGCAGCCTGCTCGACCCGAGCAGCTCTCTTTTTTTGTGATTTTACAGAAAAATAGGCAATCACAGTAAAAATGCCAGGGCTCATTCCACAGGACCAGGGCATTGCAGGAGAATGTATTAAGAAGAAATGTATTATTTCTATACATGTTTTGGCTGTCAAACTTCCATAATGCCCCTTTAAATTACAATATTTTCTCTTTGAATCAAGAAAACACATTCTCATACATCCAATAAGTCAAGAGTCAGACGAAACTAACTATTAAACTTGTGTTTTCGTTATTTTGTTTTTGTTTGAAGACACTGAGAGCTCTCATGAGGGAATGAGATTTATGAATTACAGGATATGAGAGAAATAAAGCTATAAATTACTAAACGATGGCTTATGTGGCTTTATTTGGTTTTAATAGATAAGGATGAATTTCTGATTAACAGAGCATACAAATCATTAAATGGTGAAAAAGGGAAAGTCACTTACTTGTGAGCATAGGTTGAAGGAATTGCAAGAGGAAACAGAGTTATCGTCATGCCCAGGTCACTGATGGCCAAATTCACAACAAAAAACTCTGCTGGCTTCAAGGAGGACTTCTTTCTATAAGCCACAAACAGCAGGATCCCATTTCCCATCATGGAAAAAACACCTGGAATAGACAGGAGGACCGTAAAGGATCTCAGCTCCTGGTCATATGATTAAGAGGTGTAGACAAGTTCACTCACCGAAAATGGTGTAGAGCGTTCCCATGAGGATGTCATTGTTTTTCGATATTCTGGACACGAACATGAATATTTCGGAGGCATTTCCCATCTGGAAAAAAAATAAACATAAATACAGAAAAGAGGTGTGTGTGTGTGTGTGTGTGTGTGTGTGTGTGTGTGTGTGTGTGTGTGTGTGTGTGAGGGGGTTAAATGCCACCCCTCACTTGAAAATCTGTCTCATCTGTTAGAGCAGTGAGTGATTTGCATGCACAGCATGACCCGATGCTGATACGGCCGTCGCTGTGGTGAATACAGGTTTCCTCGGGCAATCTTTGTGACCGAATAAATGAAAACATGAAACTACATTCAAAGCCTTTTTTCATTTTACTCTAACTTTACCTGTATTTACATTATAAAGGAAAACAGCCACAGAGAAATCAGCTGGAGTTAAGAGAGCAGCTTCTGGATAAGTCACACACACACATACACACACACACACACACACACACACACACACACACACACACACACACACACATATATATATATATGTCACCCCCTCACCCTCTGAAACAGGCACATACATGGAGACAAAATGGAACAAAATATCAATTGATAATATATCGGCGCAGCTTACTTATTGGACCGATACCAATATGTTAAAAAATGACTAACATCCGTCGATACACATATTGAAGGCGATATATTGCATATCCCAATTTTTTTAGCATTTTAAAATGTTTGTTTTTGTTTATGTGAAGTGCCTTGTGATTTTTATCTTGAAAGGAGCTATATGAACAATTGCTTTTTCTCCTTCTCCTTCTACAGATTGCAAAGTGTGCACCCTGAAGCTCAAAGTTTAAAATAAAGCTCAGTGTGCTCAGTTCTGGAAGTCGAGGTTAAACAAATGTCTGAGTTTGACTTTGGGGTTTTGTACTCAGATGTTTGTCTGTTCAGATGTGTCTTTATAGATGCCTGGTTACCATGGTGACCTTGATGGGATGCTGCAAGCAGCTTTTCCATTTCTATTGATCTTAGCTTTCTTTTCCTGTCTCACCTATTCATAATACAATAAGAACAAGATGCAAGCTCTTTATCATAGCTTTGTTCCAAAAGTATGCCTCTAAAGACTTGTGAATATTGTTAACATATGATGACATGTTTTTGGGTTCAGCAGCTGTTGGGAACATTTTTCAAATCTCTTCTTGTATTTTTATCTGTAGCTATTTTTCACACCATCACCCAATTTCCATGGCTCTTGTTGCTCTTGTTGCTGAATCTGAAAATGATCACTCACTGAAAATCCAAGATAAAAGTATCTTGTGATTGTTTTGGACATCTGCCTGTTCATTTGTCACAAGTGAAGTTTGGAGGGCTTGGGGTCTGGTAACTGTGGAGGGAACAGATGGTACTTTTTAAAAGCCCTGAAGGAAGTACAAGTGGAACATTAACACAAAGATAGGTTCCAACACCGGGCACAGAAGACACCTGTTTGATCTGGACATTAACATGAAATGAAAGGGTTGATACACAGAAGCCATGTGGCAGAATGCTGTTCGTCATTTAAAGTAGTAAGTGTAACTTTCAGTGATATAACCAAAAATACTCATTAATAAAATACTGTTTTGATGGACTCGAGTCACACTATACATCAAAGCGTTTGGATGATTTTTTAGGATTAGATTTCAACATGGCCGCTTATACATTTAAGTTTAATCACATCAGAGAAAAAAAAGGTACAATAACACTCAGACAAACCTGAAGGAGTCAAACTGAAGCAGTCAGACTTTCACATCACAAATAATCCCAGTTTTCCAAAGAAGAGCTGTGCTATGAGGCTGTGTGGGATTTTCCACAGAAGAGCATGACTGTCAGTTTTCTGATCAGCTCCAATGTCACTCCAATGTAACTCATTAAGCATAAATATTTCAGCCACTCTCCAGCTGAAGACTTTGTTAGATTGTTGTTGAATTGTGCAGCTCACACCAACATGGTGTTTTGCCCTGCTGATGAACACCAAAACAGGGATAAGGGCATAGGATGGTGACTCCTGTAACTCCAGTTACAGGTCTTAATCTACCGACTCTGACTCTTCATCAAATCAATTCATAGTGTACTGCACTGAAGGGTTGCTGAGCTTAAACTCTCTTTCTTAAAAGAGGCTTGAGACTCCAGGGAGAAAAAACAATACAGATTATAACTTGTTACAGAAATCAAAGACATGCTTAGTTAAATTAACAAACTTGATCTACAGCAGAATTTTTATAAGTTCAAAGCCATTGTTTTCAGATCACTAAGTAAGTACAATCATTAGCTGCAGTGTTTTTGAAATAAATAAATACGTTTTATCAATTAGATTGATTACAATGTGTAACTCTTACAATGCTAAAAGTTAATTTTTATTTACTTGATTTTTGCTTATGCCTTAAAATTGCACAGTAGCATGTCATGCTTCAATGAAAGTGCACAAGCTTTGAAAGTTATAAACTCACAGTTACATTGCCCTGTCAAGAATTTTAAACAAAGTTCTTTTTCTCATCAGCCAATCACAAATATTCATTATAATATTTACAACACATGAACCAATTTCCCTTTATCTTGTAAAGTAATTTCAAAAGTATATTTCACACAAAAGGAAAGACATGACTAATAAAGGTTTTAAAAATTTGAACAACCGTTTCTGTGCGACAGTATGTTTTTATTTCCATCCTGCCTCCTCATTTATGGTCTACCCACACATTTAGTAGCCTGGCACACTTCCATTAGCAATGAGATCAAAATGCAGAACACATGCTGCACAGCTCCTGATGTCTCGTGTAGGCTGGAATTTATTAGACTTGTAGGCATTTAATCTCACTTTCACTACAAAAAAAAAAAAACGATCATGTTCTAATATCAAATGTTGTCTTTTCTTTTACCGTGTCCCACAAATTTAGTTTCATGCCTCATCTTGGGATTTTGAATTTTCATATAGCAACTCACCTTTGAAAAGATTGCTTTGCAGATCAATGGTTTTACTCTAGGCTGAGTAAAGCAAGTAGGTATAAAATGAACTAATCAGTCTAACTGAATTCTACACTTTGTGGAGTGTTTGAAGTGAGTCCAGTATAAATAAGGCAAGATTCAACAACGTGCAAACAGTCATTGTCACATGGACATGCAGATCATGTCTATATTGAGTCCATTGGTCCAGAGCACTTCTGAAGGATGTCCAAACTGTCTTTGCACAGTGGGAAGTGTTTTGGAACCAATCAGTGGAATTTCTGCATAATTCAGCATATCCTAATGTAATTATAGGGGAAACATTCCTGATTAGAACTTTATTATTTAGCAAAGAAATAAAATTTAGCCTTGCACAGACTGCCATTGATTTTGCAGATTGAATAAAATCATTTGACCCATCTGTGAAATCTTACAAATGGTAGGTTTGAACCATGGGTTTGAACATGTGTAATGGAAAACAGGCTCTGACTGTCTGACGATCCTAATTTGATGAAGACATCTTGTTCTCGTTTGAGCTGCAGATGATAAGCATGATGTTTGTCACAACAAACATCTCATTAACCCTTTGATACATAATGGTCACTACAGTGGACAGGTACTCAAAATTGTTATTTCTTTATTTTTGCTATTAAGCACAGCTGTTGAAGACTTTATTGCATTTGAGCCCCTCCATTTGGACTTCAGTAAGTCAAGCCAACATATTCCATGTTCAGAATGCACGCTGTCCACTGAGATGGACATGTAATAAATTATTTGTAAATTAACAAAAAGTTACAAAAAATATTTGTTGAAATTTGTTTCATTCACACCTAAAGATGAATGAAAAAAATTGTTTAAAAAATCTTGGTTGAAGATTTCATAATCCATGCATCAGAGGGTTAAATAAATGAATAGTCTGATACATCTAAATCCAAATGACATGCACAAAGAAAGTCTGTGCAGAAAGTACATCTTTTAATGTCTTTGAGTGTGCCCTCTGTGAAAGCGCAAGTTGTGAATCTTCTGAAAGGGGATCAGAGTTTTGCATTTTGAAACACAAAGAGAACACTGCAGAGATGTTTGCTGACTCTGAAATTTGCTGGAATCAAGTTTGCAATTTAGTTTATCCGGATCCACAATCTTAGTGTGCTCTTGGCAAAGGACTGGGGATCCTGTTAAAATATTTATCAGATTCTATCCAACTTTATTTGCAGTCGGACAAAGACTGATATGTCAACTGTTCAGCTAGGCTGGGCCAAACAGAGGAGGACGAGCTCTGCTTTGCACGTTTTTCCTGCAAGAATTCTGCACAGAGCATCTTTATATTCCACAAATACTCAGAAATGTACATTAAAAGGAAGTACAGAGTCTTTTTACGATACATGTAATGATTTATCTATGTTTTGAACTCTACCAAATGAATGAAAAACATTTATTTTAATAGTAGTTCCTTGCAGTTGAATTTGCTTTTTACTCATAATCAAGAGGCATAATTAATATTTCTGTGTGACTAATCATTAACAGTTGGCATTTTGCAGGCTTGTGCATAATGAAAAGAGGGCGAAATGCCCCGTGGTACCATTAAAGCCTTGCTTAAGGAGACAAGAAAGAGCCGTCTGGCTTACATGCTGCAGCCATGGCGTCATCTCAACTGGAAGAACTAGAGTCACCAGCCCTGATTAATGACACTATGCAGGAGGAGTTTGACCAGTGAGAAACTAGATTAGTTTGAGTGTTGTTGTTTTTGGTTGAAATACTTATATGTGTCAGAACGAATAAATGAATCAAGACTGTATGTATGGTAAGAGTTTCACTAACACTGCTTCAGCACTTCCTTCAGATTACTCAGGCTTGTTTATTGGAGACAGAACTCGCTCACTTACTAATCTTCTGAAACCGCATTCTCCTCAGGAGGGGATTGGTGTCTATCTCCAGCAGTGACAGGGTTAAAAGTGGAGGCACCGTGCACAGATCACAGGGACACATGTTTAGACAAACAGCCATGCACACACTCAATCCCCTTTCTTGTACTCCTGCTGACATATACACCATGTCTGCATTAAGCTGGGAAACAACATTGTCACCACATTCTTTGCTAGTATTTCAGTTATAGATTTTGAGAGATGA